GAAAATATATTGAATTTAGGCTGAAAAGGCAGGGAAAGAAATAAATTTTGAGATAAAGGGAAAGAAAGATTCATATAAATTTGAATTAATTCAATATTATTTTGTATTGTACATTAAAAAAGAATAAAAGATAGCAAATTTGTTCAAAAAAAAAAAATTAATTTTCTACAGAAATTTTTAAAAATATTTTTATTAGTCAAGCTGAATGTTTAAGTCAGAAATCAATCAATATCATCATTACAAATGATTTTATCAACATTGTATTTTTATAATCATCTTAAGGTAATCTTAATTTCTTATGTGTAATTACAATAACAATTGCTTTGTAATGCTATTACTGTTGTTTCAAAAAATTTCTGTTTAAAAAAATACAAAATTATTTCTTGTAATTTTGTATTTTTATAAAAAAAAACAACAACAACAGTTCATTCATTTCATTAGAATGATGGTATCCAGAAGCAGAAATAAAAAGTAAGATAAATTAATATAATTAGGTATCATTCTTATTAAAGTAGCTGTCACAATTGAAATTATTGGTATTCTAGGAAATGAAAGATAATTTTAATAATTATAATAAATTGAAACTATCACAAGATGGCAGCTTAACCACCTACCTCTAGACAAATTAATTTATATCTAACTATTAACAGCCTAATCATAGCCTGATAATTTGGCAAATCATCTGGCTTTAATCAAAATTCAGGTCTGTTGAGTTGTTGTTTATAGATAGCTGTCACAAATGAAACTATCTTAAAGTCAAATAGAAATACAATTCATAAATATGTATAGTACATTATGGTAATGATTGAAAAATAAACATCAATGCTTATATCATTTGTTAAATCTAAAGAATTATATACATATATATTATTAAATCTAAAAGATTAAGATTATATATATCATAATTAGTTGCTTCATTCAGTTAAAAACATTAATTTCTTGAACTTTTAAGTATAGTTTTATATTTTGTTTTTGAAAATTGTAAAAATAGTATATTCTTATAATATAAAATTAATGATTTTTAGATTTTTCACTTTATTATAACAAAATTTAGTAGCTAACTGGTAACATATTGAGTTAAGTCATATTTTAGAAAATCATATTACAAAAGAAATTGTCTGATTAACATTACATTAGATTGTTTTTTTTTTTAATTAACCATTTGTTTTTTCAAATTTATATACAAACTGCTCTCTGCTTTGAAGTAACAATTATTTGGAAACTTTTAGATTCTATAAACTAAAATAATGATGTAATAAAATTTAATCAACTGTAGAATGGACTTAATGTCTGATCTATTGTACATTTATTACAGATTTGACTCATTCGTTCTAACCATAGGCCCAGCATCAATTATCTTAATAATACTTGAATCAAGATACAATGACCGGAAGAAAAAGTAAACTCACGATTCACATTTGCTACACATTTGATTTTAACACACTGGCACGTTTATTAATAACTAGTAACTAATGATTATCAATCATCAACAATTATTTTAATGTTTTCAAAACACAATAATTATATATTTTGTGTAGTAAATAAAGTAAAAAAATTAACAAATATATTAGTTCAAATATTTAAAAAATTAGAAAATGAAAATATTATTATTATAATATATAAATTTTAATATAATTTATTATTGATAAACTACTTAAAAATAACTTAACCAACAAAAATTTTTACTCGTATCAGAGAAATTTTTCATGTTGATTAGTCAAACATCAGAACAAATAGAAAATTTGCAAAATATCATTATTATTCCTATTTTTTTTAATTGACGAGATTAAGAAATTAAAAGAAACTTTAATTATTACTACTATTCACTCTCATTTTTATTACGGCCCACCAGCGGCCAAGCGGTCTTCGTACCCCGAACACCGGTAATTCGGTTGTGGGTTCGAGCCTCGCTCGGACGGGCTGGCCACGTGGAGTTTT